AATTAAGAAAGAAGTTGTATCGCTGAAGTTCCTCGCAAAGAATTTATACCGGAAATTAACAAACGACCAGAGATGTAACAGTATATTTGATAATTACTTACTCGTCTAAATTCTTGCTTGTTCCTCCATTCTGCTTTCTGTGGTACATTTATGATCTCGTTTGGTAATTTCCAGCACACTAATCATTCATCAAAAAATAAATTTGGAAAAATTCGGCATCTGTTTATTACGCCCCCCAGTGGCACAGCGGGATGTCTGCGTACTTACAACGCTAGAAACCGGGTTTCGATACCCGTGGTGGACAGAGCACAGATAGCCCTTGTGTAGCTTTGTGCATAACAAAAAAAAACAAAAAAAACTGTTTATTACACAAACAAAATAACACAAAAATAAAGAGCAACTAATGACAAGTAAACGCAGTAATGTGGTATGTAAACATAACCATAAAATTACATATTCAAACATCATCTTGTCATGCGACACGAAAAGAAAAGGTATGGGACTTTTCTCGCGGTGAAAATACACATACAAAAGAAAATGGAAAGATCAGAATGAAACTGAGAAATCAAATTACTTTTAAAAAACAACATTTAATTCTGAAAATTAAAATTAAATGAAAAAGAATGTGGTTGAAATGACAAAAAAACGAAATAACTAATTGGTGTCTCTTGCCGATTTTCGTACATCTGATACTTTTCACAAATAACAAATATACATGTTTTAATAAGATATTATATTACATTTAATACATCCCATCTAGTCATAACATTGGCAATGGATTCATGATGTTGAAAACGAAGTCGAGTAATACAGATGAAGACAGATATTATATTACATTTAATAAATCCCATCTAGTTATAACACAGGCAATGGATTCATGATGTTGAAAACGAAGTCGAGTAATACAGATGAAGACAGTTGACAATTATTCCATATTTAGCGCACCCCCCCAGTGTCTGCGGACTTACAACGCTAGAAACTGGGTTTCGATACCAGTGTAGTTTTGTGTTTAACTACAAACCAACAAAAACATCTTTAGCGAAATATGAAACTAATGTTAGAATGATATTTATTCACTAATGCTATGGTACCATCAGTTACCATGTTACACAAGCTACACAATGGGCTACTTGTGCTCTGCAAACCACGGGTATCGAAACCCGGTTTCTAGAGTTGTAAGTCCGCAGACTTACCGCTGTGCCACTGGGGGCACACAATGTACTTGAAAATTTAGAATTCCTGACGATAAAGTAATAAAACATTAACTAATTGCTCCTACCTTCTAAAACATGCTTAACAACTGCCCCAGACTGCCCAAAAAGATCTGTATGTGATGGATTCTTCAAGTGTTCATCCAAGCCTGTTGGTCCTGGAGCTACATTTTTTTTTCTCAGGCCCGAAATATCCCAAACTCGAACAGTTTGATCAAGTGAAGCAGAAACTACCAAGTCTTCAGAAGGATGGAACTGTGCACACATTACATAATGGTTGTGCCCAGTCAGGACATATATACAGGTACGAGACTGCCAGTTCCAGATACGAATTGTTTGGTCATCCGATGCACTCAGGATCCATGGATATTCATGATGAAAGGTTGTTGTTCGAATGTAATCCAAATGTCCCAACAGTGTGAAAATACAACGTCTATGCTTGTAATTCCATACCTTAAAAACAAAAAATACTAACAATTTAAAAATTGTTTATACCATTTAAACAAGATACATAACAGATTAAATTAAAATATGTTTTTCAATCTTAAATAGAACATCACAAAGAAAAACAGTGTAAAAGCATGATGATGTAGAAAAACAACAGTTTACAGCAATATATAAAAGAAAATATCCAAAACTGCAGATATAATGACATTACAACTGTCACTCAAACAGGGATCTCTTTTCTGACAGGTTTAGATATCTTTGAGCTGTACAACTTGTTTTGAATTTTCCCAAGATACTAGCAATAAGTTAAATAATAATGAAAGTTACCATAAAATCATTAGTGGGTTATGATGGAGATTAATGAATAGGCAGCAGTTTTGACTGAGCAAGTGCATGTATTAACATGTTGGGTAACATACTTGCTCACAAGAGAAATTACTTATCCCTCACCTATACCACCTTACACTTTGCCATAAAGAAGTATCACCATTTTAAGTTACTATAGTCAACCCTCCACCCCTGCCTACTGGATCTAACTGTTTCTAAATTTAGTAAGTGTTTGGACATTATTACCAAATATCTGAAAACATACAAGTGGAAACTGCAGCCTCATATATGAGGAGAGGACCACTTGAATGGTGGAAACCACTAACATCAGAAATGGCTTTTGAAAACTGGGGAGAATTTAAGGATAACCTAACGTTCTAATTTTCCTACATAGAAAATGTATTTCTGATAGATACTTACCTCCACTCGTAATGATGCCCACTATGTGCACAAATTCTTCTGCTTGCCACTAGCTTTTAAATTCCTACCTACCTCATATTTAATGTAGTTCTGCTGCATCTTCTCACCCCTCCACCATTTATGAAGAGAGTACCTTTATTCAAAATTGTGTTCTATTACAAAGAAATGGTCGTTTCACGTACCTCAGTGATTTTTCTAATTATCTGAATCTTGAATACCTAGTGTGAATTTGTTTATAGATTTTATGATGGGTGAGATGGGTAGGGCCACTGTGTTTCATTTGCTAAATATATTGATATCTCAGTAAATAGAAATAATAAGAGGTTCTTATTTTATATTCTAGCTTATCAATATCGGTAATTTGAGTTTCTATTTTGTAAGACACTATAGACTTCGTATTTGGAAGTCAACTCATCTAATTTTAACCAAAGCTGCATTCAACAAACCATGTGACACACAAAAATAAATATTTAGGTACTATATTTTAAATATTTTCTTTTAAATTAAGAAATTAACTAATGTATAATATTAAAATTTGAATTATAATCTACAATTTGATGCCAAACTTATTGCCATACATTTATAAAATAGTAGTTCAATAAAATTTGAATGCAAGTCTACAAACATGACAACATGCCCTCTAACCCTTACGGCCATACCTATAAGAAAACCCATAGCTATAGAGTTAATGGGCATACAACAGTCAGCAACCTAGCATCCATGACATTTAAGAGATGTTGACTCAATGAAAATGTACCTGTATACATGGACACTTTATATTTAACTAATGTACAAACATTTTTCATCATTAATTATCAGTGTAGGAATAACAGTTTACACAATGTGTTGAAATCCCATTTCTGATAACTTGCATTACATATATTTTTTTTTCACATATCTGATTCCAATTTTATAATTGTGAAATAGACAAGAAAATCACATTGGTACCCCTACGACGAAATACTGAAAATAGCACCCACATAATCCCATTCTGACCAATTTTAGCTAACAAATGACTCCCACAGGTTTGTTGGCATTCCACGTCTGAAATTAAGAATAAAAAGGTGTGCTACAGTAGTAAAGTTTTAGAGACTGATTAAAGACAGAGATGGACAAGTAGTAGTATTTGCTAAGTAATTATATTCAATTTTCTCAAAACCGAAAAAAAAAAAAAAGCTGGTGACAGATGCTATTAGACACTTGCATTCATCTATTCAGTAATTCAAAAAAAAGTAGTAGTTGGAACGGGTGTTGCCAGGCAATTGCTTTCATGATTATATTCAATTTTCTCAACCCCCCCCCAAAAAAAAAGCGTGTGACAGATGTTATCAGACACTTGCCTCCATCTAGTCAGTAATTCAAAAAAGTAGTAGTTGAACAGGTGCTGCCAGGCAGTTGCTTTCGCTGTTGTCAGCAATTGAAAAAAGAGAAAACAGTTAGTGGTGGGTACTGCTAGGCAGTTGCTTTCACTGTTGTCAGCAATTGAAAAAAGAAAACAGTTAGTGGTGGGTACTGCCAACCAATTGCCTTCCCTCTAGTCAGCAGTTGAAAATTAGTGGCAGTGGCATAGTCTTAGTAGCTTTTTCATAACAAAAACAGGGATAGCAAGCTTGTTAGCAATGAGAATTGAACCCGAGACCCTCAAATCACAACTTCCCTCCTCCTTCTCCCACCAAATCACCAGACTTAAACAAACTTAAAGTGAAAAAAAAACTTATATTTTTATAAGGATAACCAACCATATAGCTTTGCTCTTAACAAACAAACATATTAGCACTATTTTGACTACTTGGATAGTTGGAATAATCAAAAATAGTAACAACCAGAAATGCTAATTGCAGTAATAAGTAGTTGATTATTTTTGTGAAAATCTGTTTAATCATAATTTCGGTTAATCAACTGTTGGAATAACCAAAAATTGTAATAATTAGAAAAAATCCATTTTGATTAATCTATTAGGTTATGTGTAACTAAATGGTGTAATTGCTGCTCATAGGAATTTGATTATATCAATTAAAGTCACTCAGCTCTAATTACAGATTCTTTGCAAACCACCTGACAAAGTTTATAGTTTAGTTAAACAGCTAGCATAGTTTCACATAGTGAAAAATCTTGCCTCATGAAGCTTCTGACTTCAAAGATGTCAAGTGCTGCGTATGATGATGAGAGTAAACATGTGAATTTGGTATATCTGGATTTTTGGAAGATTGTTAAAACAAAGAGCACATAAAAAGACTAGTAGAGAAAATTATCTATTGTGGGTGTGAGAGATAAATTAGGTCAATAGATTGAATAGAGAGGAAGGAAATAGTTGTAATAAAAGGAGTTCAGTCAAATGGAATTGGAGTTGCAAGTGGGGAACCTTTATTCTTTTTTATATATATTAAAGATAATCAAAGTAATGGTCAACAAACTGTCCTGTTTGCTGATGACATGAAAGTTTTGAGTGCAGCAAGCTATAAGGAGGAACTGTTTTACAAGGGGACTTGGATCATTTGGTGAATTGGGCAAATAAATGGCAGATGACATTAATTATGCTAAGTGGAAGGTAATGAATGTTGACTACCTTAAACTATTATTATCACCTTCATAGAAACCAACTCAATAGTGTTATGGAAGAAAAGCATCTTGGAGTATTGGTCTATCAGTCTCTAATGACTTCCAGGCAGTATGTTGCTGCCAGTGGGAAGCAAATGGGATTTTTGGCTTTATCTACAGGAATAATGAATATAACTCGAAGTAGGCTATAGTTTCTTTGTAAAGGTCTCTGGTTAGGACTCACTTAGAGTATAGTGTTCAGTCTTGAGCTCTTTACTTTAAGAAAATCATTGAGTTGTTGGAAAGATTTCAAAGGGCTACTAGGATGATTCCTGGTATGGAGATGCTGTCATAGGAAGGCAGGTTAAGATCCTTAAAATTATATTCTCCTGAGAAAAAAAGAAAAAGGTTCTGATTGAAGTATTAAAGATTATACAGGGAATATATCTACAAGGGCATACATTGGTATTCCTGTATGTTTGCTTCTATTTTTAAATAATTACACACACACACTCATTGCACATATCACCTTTAAAAATTATTAGACATACCAGTGTTTTTTCCATTATATGTTATGGTCATCTTCAACTTTTGTGAAATTCACCCAAACAAACTATTATTTGCCACAAGTGTTAATAAACAAGTAATTTCAGTCAACAATGTGTGGCTTGTGCTGTATTTTGTGTATGGTCTCAAACTGCATTACAAGTAACAACTGAGACACCCTACATTATGGTTTGTAGCTCTTTAAATGTATCCAGCTTTTGCAAGTTCCAACTTTCACACTTAACAACCATATACTACAGACACCCAAAAATTAATGAAACATTGTTAAAACATTGATGTCATCATTGCATTAATTATAGCAAGAACTTTTTAAGATGATCTGATGATTAAATACAAGAGGGAAAAAAAAGCCATTTCTAAACCAAATTATTCTTGGCCCAACTGAACTGTTTCTGGTAACACTAATACTTTAGAAGTCGTATTACTATTATAATCTACTTCTGTAATTCAACTCATCATCCTCAACTTGATCCAGTTATATTTCTATTTCTAGCCTATTTTGCTGTACTAACCTAGCCTACACAAATGAGACTTATCTTTTCGAATTAAAATTACCTTGATTTTATAGTCATCCCCCCCTGATACAAAGAGAGGTTGCTGATTATGAAAACAAATGCCTCGAACTGGACCATCGTGTTCGTCAAACTTATCAAGCAAAGTACACATTCGGTAATCCCAAAGCTGAATAACTCCATTGTGTAAGCTCGTCAACACCCAAGGCCTTTTTGGATGAAAACTCAATCCTTTCACCCTTGCCGACTTCGTTTCAAATTTTGTTAACATAGTTTATTTCATAAACTGACATACGCCAATATACTTATTTCGAATAATCCTAATCTCTTGCTAACGTAATTTTCTTGACGTGGCGACACCACTGAGGGAAGTCGTTGGTTAAACAACTACTTTTAAGAAACGCCCCCTATTATTTTTCTCTCTCGTTTTTTTTTAATTCATATATGAGTAAAAAAGTGACACAAAATTTTAGGGACTATTTATATTACAGTATAATATATACCCACTTATATTTAATGTTTGTTCAATAGATAAGGTAGAGGGGGGACAATGGGTCAAACGGGCCTAGGGCTAAATTTTTCTACCGGACCTATTATGATCGCGACTAAAGAATAAGGTAAAAACAAAACAAAAAAAAAACTAACCCTCAAATGTTTTACTTTTGGGGACAATGGGAAAATAATACCCGCGGATTTGCAAGACACGTCTATAAATTAATGAACAATATTAGATGATTCTTCAATAGGAAAACTGGTACTCTAACACATATAAAATTTGCATTTGGACAATAAAGCATATAGACAGAAAGAAACCACATACACATAAACTCAACAACTAACGCATTCACGCGCACACATACACATGCTTAAATCACATCAGTACTAATAATCAGTAGTAATAGATCATGTCATCTGTACTTGGTCAAACTATTCTCTCCCTGGCTCTTTTTGTAACAAAGGCATCTATGATGTGTTTGGTGTCAAGCGATTCAAACAAGTCATTTTCTGTGCATAAAAGTACCAGTGCATTTAACCTGTCTTGCCACATTATTGATCGAAGTATGTTCAATGTTATTTATCCTTTTTAGCGTCGAGAATTATCTTTCTCCCGAGCAATTGCTTGACATGAGACATACATACATCGTTAAGATTATCAGGGCGTTTAAAAAAGTTGATTTCAGAGATCGATCGAATATCATTCTCAACATACTTTGTTCCTTGGGTTCAGACAGTATTTCAACGACATATGCTTTGCAGAGGGCGGTAAAATGGACATTTTCTTCCTTTGAGCAACTCTGTGGGTTCAAAGGATATGTACTAATCAGCTTTTTGGTAGCATTGCGAAGATCCTCTGTAGTCATGGACTCTAAGTTTTATAGAAACCCAAATTCTCAACTAACGTTTTCATGTGCCAGTATTCTGTTCTCTAGTGCAATTGACAGTGTTTTTCAATTATTGTTAAGATAGTCTGAACTTTGTATTGAGTAGAGGGTGAAAATCACTGTCTTAAGCATCCCCTCCATCCCATCGCATATTTCTCTTCCTTGTTCTTGATCTTTCGACCTTACATATCTCATATTCTGACAGTTGTTTACCATTTTCCTCATATTCGGGAAATGAATCTTGTAATTCCTGTACGAACGTCTTGAGAGATTTTAGCAGATGAGAACCTGTACTGACATCCGTTTGGAAGTTTTCTAAGATAACGCTCCATAATTCTGTCATTATACCTGTTTCTAGTTGCTACAATCAGCATAAAGCTTCTTGATTATAAGGTTTTTCAGAGTCATGATTTGTAATGGGAGCGAGGACTTGTGTTATGGCTTTGTACCCCATCTGATAGCCTCTACCATATATGTGAACATAAAAAAGTAAGGTTACGGAAAGCCAAAACAAATAAACAAAGTGATCAGACAAGTCCTCAGGAGAGGAAGCTTTAGTGAAAGAAGAAGCAGGAAACAGGGAGTCTAACTTCTCCCCAGAATATTCCGTTTCAGAATGAAAATTCAAATCAGCACCTGCAGGAGAGATACCCCCGGGCCTCATGAAGGACTTCATCTTGCCCCGAAAATAAAGTCATGGACAGCTTCCACAGAGAGTAGATCTCCCCACTTCCAAAAAAAAAAACTTAAAAGGATTTTATTATGAAAAATGAATAAAAGGTGCAAGATCTACATTTGCAATCAAATTAACTGTCATCTCTTGGTATGAAAAATACAAAACTCATAGTATTTACAAATATTTTAAATTACAAAATAAAATTTAGCGACTGTACCAACATATTTAACATGATTTTTATATGGAGATTTCAAATATTTCACCCTCATGGCATGCAAACTTGACAAGGACTTTCCTCTTGTGTGAGAAAAGCACTACATATGTGGAAGAAGAAATTTAGAAGTAATTGTTGTTAACACCCTAAAGGCCTCTAATGAATAGTGAACATCTAGCTCTGGTGAAAAGAACAAATAGAATTCTTGGTTTTAATTAAAGGAGTTTTGAAGGTAAGAGCACAAAATTCATTGTAATCTTGTTTGAGACTGTAATGAGGCTTCATTTGGAATACTGGATGCAGTTCTAGTCCCCTCACTATAGTAGCGATATTAATATGTTTGACAAAGTGAAAATATGAGTTATCATAGTAATAGTTGGTTTATGCTACAAGAAAAGGCTTAATTCTTTTTAACATGTTTTCTCTAGTGTAAGAAAGAGTCAGAGGAGACTTAAATCACATGTTGAAAAGTGCTTTAAGTTCAGATGGTCTTCCTACAAGTGGTTTGAGTGGTACAATTAAAAAATCAGAAATGCAAACTTGAATATTAGGTTATTTTGTTTAAGCTTTGGCAGCCCATATGTGGACTTTTTAAACTGAAGTATGTTTTCATTATAATAACATACTTGTAGAATGGTTTACTTGAACACTGTTAGTTTCAACTTTTCTTTTCCAATTTGTTGGAAAAAAATATTGATATGAAGGGCTTTATTTGACTTGGATTTGATGGCCACCTTCTGCCCATTTTCTGCAGTTAGTTACACATGTTTATGAAGTTTTAGAGATGCAACCATTTGCTTTTGAGTCTGCCCCTGCTTTATTGTTTGATCATTCTCAAGGGGATTACTTAGTTTTCCTCCTCTTCCTGATATTGCTGTACATGCAGGGAGGTTTGCAACACAATCACATGAGGGTGTTGCTATGCCTCCCCCCTCGTTTATCTCAACAACATGGCCTGGCATATCATCATTGGGATGATATATATATTTGGACACTGAAAGGTTGGTCTGGTGTTGGATCTATGGGGTGCCAGGTACGAACCTGTTATATTTCTCTTAACAGGTCGCAATTTTCTTGGAATCGTTTGACTCTTACTACTGTTTTAGGATACTTCTCTTCCCTTCAACTTTTGTCAACTGTTCTCTAGAAGATATTTTGTGGGCTGGTATGTTTACTTCTCCCAACACATTCATATCTCATTACCTTCATGATCCGGCAGTTTCCTTTTCGATGGGATTTCGTCTTCCCCTGTGGCTGTGTTGACTACCTCTACTACATTTTAACAGGGAGGTGAGTAACAAGTTATCTTCTTTTCTCTTCTAGGGTTCCTATTGATTTATTTTGGATCCCGCTCAGTGGCGAGTGTTGGCTGGTCGGGTATGATTGTATTTAAATTTTGCACTAGCAACCTTTATATTGGTTCCTGGTTGCAATGGGCTCTGTCAAGATGAGGTGTTCCATAAGACCATTTGGATGCAATTCTGGATGGTGATATCATATTACAATATCTCTAATGGACCACTCCTCATGGATTATCACGAGTAAAGCTAAAGGGGATTTTGATAGTCCCTGCTGATCTTAGAGCTGAATCAGTCGAGATCAGTTTGCTTTTAAAAATTAAGCAACTTTGTTCACCTGTTGCATTGTCTCTGGAGACCTGTTCTTCAGGACTCCCCAATGCTTATGTTCTCCCATTACTTCTACTATTGGAGCTTGGGAGTCCTTACCACACCCAATTCCTAGTTGCTGGGTTGGTGGACAGAGGATTTTCCTTTGGAGCATTGAGTTTTCTCCACTCTTGGAGAAGAGGGCGAAGTTGGGGACCCTCCTACTTGACTTCCTGGAAGTTTTTTTCCCAAATGTCGGTAGGAGCAGAACCAACGTATGTGGGAGCCTACTCGTAAAACCAGTCCGGATTTGCCACTTAGCTATCTGGTGGGGGGTATTGCTTGGACCCTCTTATGAACACTATCAGGTCTTATTTTGTTCATGCAGGGGGTCCACTATCTCCTCGTTACTCCGAACACGACGTGGTCTTATCTTTGGTCCTTGGTGGGACAGTGTTTCACATCCTCTCTATAATTCCATGGGTAAGCGGAATTCTCCTTGCC